AGGGGGAGGAGGAGGAGGAGGAGGAGGAGGAGGAGGAGGAGGAGGAGGAGGAGGAGGAGGAGGAGGAGGAGGAGGAGGAGGAGGAGGCGGGGAGGCCAGAAACCAAGCGAGCGTCAAGAAATCGAGGGTTGAGGTTTTGGCGTGCCTCCAGGGCCTCCCAGGGGCGCCGTCGCCGCCACGGCCAGCTCTGCCTCGAGATCCTGGTCAGACGGCAATCTGGGACAAGTCAGGGTCAGAGGACGAGGGAAATCGGCTCGGCCGTCCACGGAAGAACATGTCTGACCCGTTCTGCCGGGTGAGCGCCGAGCCCAAATCGCACCCGAGAGCCCGGCGGGGCCCCGCGAGGGGTCAGGAGCAGCCCAGGGACCAGTGCCCAGAAAACGATTCCGAGAAGGAGGCTGTCATGTAAGTCCTGAGAACCAGGATGAGGAAGAAGGTCGATTAGGAAGATGTTTTGCCCTGGTCCTGCTGTGGCCTGGTGGAGCTCCACGCTCTCCTGGCGACGACAACGCAGAGGGGCTCAGGTTACAGGCGGTGGCCGGGGAGGTCTGAACTGGATGGACCTCAAAAGTATCGGCCAAGAGAAAAGGAAAATGCACCGCTCATCTCAGCCTAGCGACCGACTGGCCGATGCAGACGCAATGGCCGCAGAACTGGGCCTTAGCCCGCGCTGCTCCCGGGCGTGCTGGCCACGCGGCTGCTGCTGGAACCGCCGGCGCTCGCTGCGCTCGCGCCGCTCCCTGCACCGCCCCCGCGCGCTCCGGTCGCAGGCGTGATGATCTCGGCTGTGCTGCTGCCTGCTGCGCCTGCCCTGCGAGGCAGCCTGCCGGCTTGCGCCGCTACCTGCTCCAGCGCGCCAGGCCCGGGCAGCCGCCTCTGCCGGGGCGCCGGCGCCGCCACCGCCGGCGCCGCCCCGGCGCGGCGCGCGTGCGCGCCCCGGTCGACGAAGGGCCTGGAATCAGGTCGGGCCTGTCCCCCCACAGGGGCATTCTGGACGAAAAATCAAAAATACCCCAGAAGTTCTCCCCAAGTGCTCGAACATAGTCCAAACATGCCCCCCTGATCTTTTCAAATTTTACTTCGTGTTGTCAAAAAAAAGAATGTTCCTCCTGTAGAGGGACGGGCCCGACTTGAGCCTGGAGGAGAAAAGCCACGCGTCCGACGCCGGCTGCACGTCCCTGGGGTCGAGGGTGAAGCGGCCGAAATTGTGGCGTGGCGGGGGGCCGAAGGAGTGGCGCGGAGGCGGCGTGCCGCCGCGCGCGGAGCTGCGGGAGCCCATGGCGGAGGCGCGGAGCCGCCTGAGCCAGAGTGGCATCGGAGGGCGGCGCTGCGCGACGTCGGAGGCCCCTTGGGCTGCCTGGGTCGCTCGGGCGGCCGCAGACGAGCCACGCAGTACCTCGAGGACGCGAGAAGCCGAACCAGGGCCCGAGGCACAGAGACCACGGCCCAGGGGGCGAGGACACGAGAAAACGAGGCAACGAACCAGGGTCCGAGACGCCGAGACCACGGCCCAGGGGCCGAGGAAGCGAGAAAACGAACCAGGGTCCGAGACACAAAGACCACGGCCCAAATGGCGAGAAACGAGAGAGCAAACCAGGGTCCGAGACACAGGGACCATGGCCCAGGGGCCGAGAAAACGAGAAACCGAACCAGGGTCCGAGACACCGAGACCTCGGCCCAGGGGCCGAGAACACGAGAAAACGAAGACAATGGCACTGCTGTGAGAGTCAGCCCCGGGGGGGAGGGGCAAACAAAACAACACCGAGACCAAAACAAATTCTTATCTATGTTTGCCGGTTATACCGGCTCTGCGAGGCTGACCGGTTACCGGCGGCCTACCGGTTATCGGGAGTTGCCGGGCGAACCAGGCCTAGGAATGCTTGCCCCAAGCGGCAAGCGGCAACTATAAATATTCCTGAGATAATCAATGACTCCCTCTCGGGGCCTCTCAAGAATCCTAGTCGGGGCTGTCATGAACAATCTTGGAAGCGTTCGAGCTGTCCTTGGGCCCAAGGCCTGTTGTCGCGCATTCGCGGTGTTTTCGGGCTTCCTAGTAGCGCTCTCGGAGAACCTCTGCAGGCTGTCTTCAGAGGCTGTGGAAGGGGCCCCGAAGGCCCTGGACCCCGTTCCCACTGCCCCGTCCCTCTATGGAGAAAGGAGGCTGGGCCCCCCCGGGTCTGGAACTCCGCACGCCTAGGTCATAAGTTATCATCACAGGAAACGAGGTGCTCACATGCCACACGTATCCTAGGGACAAGCGAAATCATCCGATCGCCAATCGTTTGTTCGTGTGGAGCCCTTCGTGCTGGAAGCCTTGAAACGCGCATCTGAATGTCTGAGGCCCTCCTGGAACCATCACAGCAGGACACCCCCGAGATACTCACCAAACAATGCAGGCCCATCTTGGACACCAGGGCAGAGGCTGTCTAACAGCCTGGTGAGACGCGCATCTGTTTGTCCGAGGCTATTTTCGTTTGCCAAGGAGTGGGCGGCCCCGAAGCTTGAAATTCGTAAAAATTGCCAGGACGGAGCATCTGCGTTTTCAAAATTTAGCTCACGCTTTAGCGCCGCGCGCATTCGTCTTCAAATCTGGCAGCAGTTGCAAACATGGAGGGGGTGGTTATGGTTTCAGAATTGGGTTATCTCCTTGGCGCTGTGATAACTCGTTCCAACTAAAAACTTGCGCAACAGTTGCTAGAATGGAGCGCGGTTCCTTTTCACCATGGGGCTCTCGCCTTGGCGCCGCGCGCATTCGGTTTCAAAGCTTGCATCAGTTACAAGGATCGGATGGGGGACGGTTTCGTCGCAACACGGGGCTCTCGCTTGAGACTTAAGCAAGAAGCCTCAACGTCTGTTGCAACAACACGGGTGTACGGCGGCTTCCTTTCAACACGGGAATCTCGCTGGCAAACCCGCTGAATTCTATGATCATTCAATCTCGCACTCTTGATTACGCTAGAAGGGTGCGAGTTTCGTTTGGATTTGCGAAGAAACTTGGGGAGGAGGGGTGTATTGCAGCATCGCTGATGTATCTTGGGTTTACTCTGGTCCTCCTCCTCCATGTTCTCCTCCTTCCTTCCACTCTCCTCCCTCCTCCTCCTCCTCCTCTTCCTCCTCCTCCTCCTCCTCCTCCTCCTCCTCCTCGCTGTCCTCCTCATCCCTCCCCTCGAAGAGGAGGAGGAGGAAGAAGAGGAATGAAGGTGGAGGTGGAGGAGGAGGTAAAGTAGCTCGAAGGGGGCGACGAGGATGAAGGAACAACATATGGCGGAGTCGAGAGGGCACCTGCCAGCCCAGGAACAAGGAGTTGGACAGGATTAGAACCATCACAACCAGCTCGTAGGTAGCGCTGTTGATGAGCTCCTTGCGAGGACAGCGCCGAGAGAGGGAGGATGGGAGGAAAACACGTGAGAGAGAAAGATATACTATATGTATACAGAGAGAGAGAGAGAGAGAGAGAGAGAGAGAGAGAGAGAGAGAGAGAGAGAGAGAGAAAGAGAGAGAGAGAGAGAGAGACGGGAGGGCGGAAAGGAGAAGCGAGCAAGAGGGTAGGGTCAAGGTAGGGTCAGGGGCGGAACGGGGTGGAGGGGAGGTTGGAAGACGTGGGGAGGGGAAGGATGAGATGTGGAATGGATGGGTGATTGCGGGGAGGAACGGGGGGGGGAAGGGGGAGGGGAGTGAGGTGGGGAGCGGGAGGGTGGGCGAGGAAGAGAGGGGAGGGGGTGGGAAGTGGAAGTGAAAGGTTGGAGGGGGGTCAGGAGGAGATGGGGAGGGGGAATTGGCGGGGTTGGGAGAAGGAGAGGGGGGTGGGGAAGCTTACAATCATCATCTCATCGTGCTTAACTGCTTCTGCGGTAAGCAGTGGAATCGCCTGCTCTGTTGACCATTTCGCTTCTACAGGGGGTGAGGAGAGGGTAGGAAAGGAGGAAAGGAGGGGGGGAACCCTTTCCGAAAAAGCTCCTGGATCCTGGGGCTTTTTCCGGGACCACTCTTTCATCCCGGGCCGTTACCTTGACGGCCACCAGGGGGCCCTGGAAGGGCACCCCCGCGGAAACCACGGGGGTTCTGGGTGAATTGCGAGTGAAGTCGCCCCGGCCCCGGCAGCAGAGCGGCGGCAGCAGCACGCGGCACGTTGACGACAACGACGCCGCCGCCGCCGACGAAGACGACGACGTTGACGACGACGCCGACAACGACGACGACGCCAACGACGGTGAATTGCGCCAGCCAGCGGATAACTTCACTTACGAGCCAAGTGGCGGCGGAGCCGCTGCACGGGGCGGCTCAGGGACGATTTTTACCACGACCGCCGAACGCATCCGTATTCCGTCTCGTGGCCTGGACTCTGGGGCGCGATCCCCGCGAATGCGCGGGGAGGACGAGGAGGAGGAGGAGGAGGAGGAAGAGGAGGAGGAGGAGGAGGAGGAGGAGGAGGAGGAGGAGGAGGAAGAGGAGGAGGAGGAGGAGGAGGAGGAGGAGGAGGAGGAGGAGGAGGAGGAGGCGGAGAGGAGAGGAGGAGGAGCGAGGAGGAGGAGGAGGAGGAGGAGGGAGGAGGAGGGGAGGGAGGAGGGAGGAGGGAGGAGGGAGGAGGGAGGAGGAGGGAGGAGGAGGAGGAGGAGGAGGAGGAGGAGGAGGAGGAGGAGGAGGAGGAGGACGATTACAGGACGATTACTAACCAGACAGCAAATCCCGCCGATATGCCGCTGGCGCTTCTGGGGTTATCTTAACCCTTGCGGCGCACTTCACGCTTTGGGCGCCTGGGGGCATTGGGGGTGCCATCAGGCCACACGGCCTTACCCCTCGAAGAGGGGACCTCCCAACGCCGAATTTTATTCAAGGCCTCTTGGCCTGCAGGGGTGGGGTGCCCTTTACACGTGCCGACGATGCCCGCCCCCAGTCTACCACCCGTGGGGGTCTTCGAGCCAAGGCACCCGCACCTCCAACCAAAAATCTGGCCATACAATATTGCTGCATTGTGTGACTCATGCGCCGCCTTGTCCCCGATACTGTACCGAGAGGGGAGGCGCACAGGTAAACCTTGAGACTCTACTCTATGGAACTGGGGTCCTGGACATTTGCCACTGCGAAGCCAGTCCAAAATGGAAAACTTCCCAGGGCCACTCTGGCAGTGGCAACACACCCAGGAGGGGCCGACCTTGGAGACCTGGTGCCCCGAAGACGCTTCAAAAGCCTTCCTTACGCGCCAGGCAGCGGGCGGCACACGGCAGTCCTTACGCGGGCGGCTCTTACGCTCGTAGTCGGCACAAGCGGATGCCGCGTTGACTATAGCCAGCCTCCTCTGGACCAACCACACTTTAAATTCAGCACGGGCTAGATCTCTGACCTCTGGGTCAATTTCTGCTGAAACCTGCTCAACTCCTAGTTGGGCGAAGTTGTCGGCAAGGTCATTGCCTCGGGAGACACAGGGGGTCTGGACCAGGGAGGCTAGCGAAACTCTATCTAGGTGCGAATTACACTTACTGAGCATCACTCGTCGACCTTGAGCTTCGGAGAAGACCCTCTTCCACCAGCCTCTGAGTTCTCCCGAGGTGTCCGAGGAACCGTGCCAACCGTCGTGCACGATCTGGCTGTCCGTGTAGAGCCAAATTGGCCCTTTGGTCATTTTCAAGGCCCACCAGAGGGCCGCCAACTCCGCACATGGGACCGTCTGGGCTCCGTCCAAGCCCCCGCAAGCTCCTGGCCGAGGGGTGTCGGGGTCGTCATTTTCCACACAGGCAGCGGACTGGGCAAAGTAGACGCCCCAGCCCGCGCGCGCAAGGCGCGCGTCGCTGCTCGAAGCCGAGCCGTCCAGGAAGGCCAGCTTGCACTCGATGCGGTCCTCGAAGTTCACCGTGCCCTCGAACGTGACGGTCGGCCCGTCCCAATCGATGTAGTACGGCAGGCAAGGCGTGCCCCGCGAAGGCGGAGGCGGTACGGAGTTCCACGTGGATGGTAGTAGCCCTCTTAGCCACAGCTCCAGGTTGGCCCCGTTAGTAATGTCTCGGACTGCTTCATCACATAGCTTGGCGCTCTGACGGATCCAAGGGTGGTCCTGGCCGCATGTGTGGGGGCAGCTCCAGACGCGGTGGGCCATCGTCTCTTTCTGGCCTGTCGCGCACCTGGTACATACACCATCACACTCGTAGCCTTCAGCACGGCAACGATCCTCGGTCCAAATGGTATTGCAAATAACTGCTTCTAGCGCACCAGCTTCACGATGTGACTCTGTGCGTCTCATTCTCTGTAGGGTTCTGCTTGCTGTCGTGAGGTCTGGCGTAGAACTCCAGCCTCCTCCGTGGCGATCTCTGGCCGCCTGCTGCCACAGCTCCTTGATGACGTCCGCCGTGATGGTCGCCATGGGTTGGGTGGTGCCTTCATCTGCGAGTATGCCCTCTGATTGCTGACCGTCTGAAAATGGCAGCTCACGGCTTGCATGCATCTTGTGCTGGTGCGGTTGTTGGGCCATCGTCCATTCATTTTCCTGCGCATCCGTCCACGTATCTGGCTCAGGTAGCTGCCATCCTAGTTCAGTAAGTCCCTGGATGAGAGCCGCCATCGGCCCTGTCACCACGTTCCAACGTCCTCTGGGTCGTGCCCGCTGGAGTCGCTGTACTGCAGCATGCCAACCTCCTCGTAGTTTGTCATGGTAGTCTGGCCACCGCTTCCACAGCCTAATCCATTCTGCAACTTGGCGGCGGAGCCCAACAGCTTTTGGGTCCCTCTCGAAATAGTGCAACCACATCACCATGGATGTACTCCTGCCGCCGGTCGTGTACCCAAGCATGTCTGCTGCTTCAGCTCTTGCACGTCGCACCGCTGATGGAGACTGGCCTACTGCAGGGACGTCGTATGATGACTTAGCACGGACATTGACTAAGTTGAGCGTGGCCAGCTTCCGTCTACGCTTGCCTGCCCCTTTGAAAACCCTGGCTCGGCGTATTCGTGCTCTAGCCGCTTTGCGTCTCTCCGTAGCCGTCGTGGTGCGCCTCTTACGTCCTCTCGCCATGTCGATGCCGAGGTCACGTACGTACGAGGCTCCTTTGACTGTTGCACCTAGTTGCCGAACTGCTTGCGAGACTGCTTTTTGAAGACTTGGGTGGGATGCCATCACTGCCGACTTGTCCGACATCTCCAACTTGCTCTCAATGCATCCTTTGACCAACTCGACCGCGACAGTGGTCAACTCGTGCTTGACCTGCTTGTACGAGCCGTCGGACCTCGCCGTGACATCGTCCACATACTGTCTGGGAAGCGCTCGGGGTACCTGATTGTGAGCTCGTTCCAGAACTTCGTATAAGAATGCCCTTGCACCATTATTTGCGTTGTTGCACCCTGGTACGATGCTGTTCCCAGGGATTATCGGTGGAGCGAATGCACCTCCTGCTCTGATCGCTCGCGGAGCGAGGTATGCCAGACAATTGAGGTAGAGCTCCACGGGGGGAAAATCGAGCTTCAGAGCGCGATCAATCAAGATCGGGATGCTGATCGAATCGTAGAACTTCTTGATGTCCAAATGGATGGAGCCCCACGCTTGCGTTCCATCCCAGGCACTGCTTTCGTCCATGGCCATGCTGAAGGGGGCTGCCTGGAGGGCTGACGACTGGGCCACTGCTGCATCCCAAAAGGCTGCCTTCTTGCTGCTCCATTCTGCCATAGTTGGTTGTCGGATACGCCCCCAAAGTCGTATTGGTAAAGGTATCAAGCCGATCGGCCTCTCGTCTCCAGCTTTCAAGTTGGATCCTTTGCGTAGAAGTTCATACCAAATGTGTAACCATTGGTGCGGCCATGAAAGGCTTTGCTCGCAACTGGTGAGCAAGTCGGCCAATTCCTCTTTGGCCTGGGGAGTCAACGCCTTCAGATGCTGCACTTTCCACATGTCCGAACCTTGGCCTGAGGAATTGGGCGTCATCCTGAGAGCTGCTTCCAATTGGTCCAAAGTGATGGGTTCACGCTCAGGAAGGTCTGCTTCAGCCCGTGAGCGCAGCTTCTGCATCTGTGCCTTAGTCTCGTTGTACTCGTCGTGCTTGGTCCATCTTGCTTTCCATTGTCTGGCTCTCGTCTCCACCGCACTTTGTAAGTTGGCGATAACTCCACTGCTGTCGGGGTCGATGCACAGCTCAGGGAGCGAGAGGGATTCGGGCCGCTTGAGATACCCATGAGCTTCCTTCATGTTGCCGTCCATGGCCTTCCTTGCCCAACGGTGGATGCTCTGCTTCGCTTTCTGCCAGGCTCGCTTGCCGTGTCGCTCTGCCCGCTGTGCCGCTTGAAGTACTGCTTCGCTCCACAACTGATGGTCTGTGTCCAGCTCTGTCTTGCGAATAATATCCAACGCCCAGGAGTCTTCTTTCTCATCTTGGCGTACACAGTTGAGGCTGGATGGTGGCAGTGGTGGGTACTCCAATGATTCTATGTGCGTCAATTGAGATCGTAACATTCCTCGCAGTTGCTGCTGTCGAGTAGAGTTCTTTGAAACTGCCAATTGCCGTAAGAGAGAGCCCATTTCCACCCAGCGGTCATGTCTGGCTTGTTCTGGTTCCTGCGTGCGGTGCTCACGCCGAGGGGCTACTGGGACCAAGCGGTACTTCGCTGGCCGTCCTCGAACCGTTTTAACTTGGTCCTCTCTGTTGCACAACATGGCCAGGGTATGGTCTGCTGCTTGTGCCCATCGAGTGTACTGCTCGCCCAACTGCACGCTGCTCACTTCTGTTAACTGGAAAGCCAAACTGTCCACCGTTGTTTTGTCTGGGCTGAATAATTCACAGAGTTCTGTCTGCCTTCGAATATCATGCCACACATCGTCCGAGACCGTCGCCAATACTTCTCTGGAGTACGTCGGTTCAAGGAGCTTGTCGATGTCTGCTCGCTCTTGTTGGAGAGCTTGTTGTTCTTCCGACAGGTCTGTGTCGTAGATTATGTCGTCCAACTCTGGCAGGTGCTCCGTAAGCTTTGCATGCTGCTCTCGGTCTCGTTGCTTCCTCTTGGTGCCTTTCTCGACGTGCACCGTGATGTATGGTACTTTGTGCTGCTCTGCCCTCACAGGAGACAAGATCTGCAACTTGGCTGGCTTCCTGGCGATACGGATGTGCAATCCAACATGAGGTCTCCACGGAACCTTTGTTACCGCCATGACCCCACCCAGGAAAGGCCTGAATATTGGTGGGCAGATAACATAATCTAGCATGCGGCCTCTGCCACTGGTACACGTCGCATCGATGTTCGGGCAGACTGGGGTAACTTTGAGCTTCTTCGCCCACGTGGACTGCATGAACTCATCTGGGGTAACGTTCCAATCTCCCATTGCCATCCACGGTGTAGAGATACTAGCCGTCAGCTGTGTCAGCTGCTTCATCTTCGCTGCATTGGGCCCTGTCAGGCCTGGTCCGCTGTCAAGGTAAACCACAAAGAGTGTGATGCGTATT